ACCTGCCCCTACACCTGATCTTCTTACAAGGTTGGTGAAACCTAGTCTGTGCCTCTCACCCCCACGGGACTAATGCTCATCTCATATGGAATGTCGCTGAGTACTGCATGGGCTGGGGTATGGGGAGAGGGCAGCCCTGGGACAGTGTGGTCGTGGGACACTCTCAGTGCCTGCCACTGGTGTGGCAAGGACATGTGAGTTCCACAAGGGCCAACCAATAGGAGGACCAGGTTCCTTCACCTCAAAAAAAAAAGCTCACTTCAGCTAGGTGTTCTTATTTCTGGATAAAATAGTAAAGAAATCTGTTTGTGCTGCTAGGGAGACTGAACCGGACCTGGCCCACCAACCCTGGTTCTCCCAGGCCCACTCTCCCTTTACGGAGCAGAGAAAGGCCACCATTAGTGAGGGGCTGAAGCTGGAGACACTGGCGTTTGCAGACACCAGATGGGACTGAGAAGGGAAAACGTCCCCGAGGCAGAGGGAGTAGGGCCTTCTGAGGAGACAGGCAGCAGATAGGGTTTGAAACCAGAGATTTCAGGAATAGGCCCAATGCTGAGAGAGAGTGTAAGAAAGATCAGGTGGGAGGGAAGCATCCGTGGGGAACATCTTTCCTTTGGGAGACCCGAGTCTTCAAGGATGAAATGCTTCTTCCTACACTGACTGAGTTGCTCTTTTGAGATCTGCCTGATGCTTCTAAGAAAAACTCCCTCATCATTCACTGATGTGGTAGGAGGGACTTTATGCTATAGGATTGTACTTTTGCACATATTATAAATGGATAGATTTCTATGGTACTCGTTAGATTTCCAAAGTGAAGAAAAAGGAGAAGTTGAGATCAACTCCTAGGTTTCTGACTTGCGTGTATTGTCTGCAATTCATCTTGAAAAAAGGGGATAGTGGGTGTAAATGGCACACTGCTGTTGTAAAGTTCTTACATTAGGTGATATAAATTCAAAGTAAACTGTGATAAGTTAAGGCTGTGTATTGTAATCCCTAGAATGACTATTAAAAAAAATACCAAGAAGCAAAGCTATAAAGTCAATAGAGGCAATGGGATGGAATACTAAAATTTATTCACTTAACCAAAAAGAAGATAGGAAAGGAGGAACAAAAAACAGAACAAATAGAGAAAACTCCAAAATGTAAAACTTAAACCCAACTATATCAGTGAATACATTAAATGTAAATGGACCAAACATTTCCATTAAAGGCAGAGATAGTAGGTTGTATTTTTAAAAAGGCCCAGTTAAATGCTGTTTATAAGAGATTCTCTTTAAATATAAATTACACAAACAAGCTGAAAGTATAAATATGGAAAAGTATATCCATGCAAACACTAATTATAAGAAGGTTAGAGTAGCTGTATTGATTTCAGGCAAAGAAGACTTCAAGACAAGGAGAATTACTAGAGATGATTAGTGTCATTTCATAATGATAATAGGACAATTCCTTAAGAAGACCAGGTAAATCTGCCCTTGATAGTATCTACCTCACATGCTACCCCCTCTCTACTTTTTCTTATCCTTTGGCTCAATTTGGTCCTCCTAGTTTCTTGGCAAGATGATGTCTCTCCCCCATGCCAATCCATCCCAGCTCTAAGCTCCTTTTTTTTTTTTTAAATAAGGTCACTCTTTTAATTAAAAACCTTTAATGGCTCCCAGTCACTAGTTGGATGGAGTTTGGGTCCCCTCTTCAGCTTGCTATAGTGGTCCCAACCCAACTATCCAACTTTGCCCCTTATTGATCCTTCCTCATCCTTGACCCCATTCACAGCAATTACTCCTGTTCCAGAACAAGCAATGCCTCTCTCTGTGCTTACATCCTCTGCTTGCCAGAAATCCCCTCCTTTCACTTCCTCCACACGTTCATTAAGTATCCTCTGTACTTGGCCACAGGCTGTATATGAACTGGCCTCAGTTACCCTCCCTCGCTCATTATACTCTAGCCACGTTGGCCTCAAATACTTCACACTGGAGTGAAGGGTCTTTGCATTTGCTGTTCCTTCTCCAAGGTATGCTTTCCTCCTATGTCACTGCATGGTAACCCCTTGAGCCAGGCAGGCCTCAGACCCTGTGGATGGAGTCCTTTCCTGACCGCCCATTCCTAAGCAGCACCCACCCCCTCACTCACTATGTATCCTGCTGCTCTATTGCGTCCACACTTCTCTTTATTGTCTCGAATACCCTATTCCTTTATTTGCTTATTGTGCGTCTCCCTGCTCTAGAACATAGACTTGGAGAATGGGCATCTCATGGGTTTTATTCACTGATGTATCCTCAGATCCCAGAGCACATAGTAGGCAGCTAGTAACAATGAATGAATGGTAGGTAGATGAGGAGATATTTGGTATAGGGGAATTTTTTACTGATGTTAAATTCTTTTCCTGGGCTTTGGGCCTTCTTTGTCAGCACCTTCCAAATGCCCACTCAACCTCGTGCTCTTGCTGCCAATCTGACAGCTGCCTCTTCGACAGTTTTCCTCCCCAGCTCTCAAGCCTTCCTGTGCACTCTCCACCTCCACCAGCAGCAGAGTTGATTACTTCTACACTAGTGTCTGTCTGCCTGGTGGACTGTGACCTCTCACCTAGATCCTATCTACATTCAATGCCTGTCAGAGAGGCACTAACAGAAGGCACTTGATAATTGCTGCTGATCAGGTCTGTGAAGCCCTCTAAACATAACACATTTTCATGGGCTTCTTAAAATGTATTGCCTGGTCCACTGACAGATGAATGGAGAAACAAAATGTGGTCTGTACATGCAATAGATTACTATTCAGCCTTAAAAAGAAAGGAGTTCTGTCCCATGCTACAATGTGGATGAACCTTGAGGACATTGCCCTAAGTGAAATAAGCCTGTCACAAAAGGACAGATACTGTATGTTTGCACTTATGTGAGGTCCCTGGAGTAGTCAAATCATAGGGACAGAAAGTTATTGGCAGTTGCCAGGGGCTGGGGGAAGGGCAAATGGGGAGCCCTGTGTCGTGCAGACAGAGTTTCAGTTTTCCAAGAGGACAAGGGTCCTGGAGATGGGCTGCACAACAATGTGAGTGTACTTAGCACTACTGAACCATACACTTAGAAATGTCAAGACGGTAAATTTTATGTTATATGTTTTTTACCTCAAAAAAACTCCCACAGAAATGGTTAAGGTGGTATATTTTATGTATATTTAATGAAATTAATTTTTAAAAGGGGGAAAATATATCACATAACTGTGTATTATATATATGTATATATACTATATACATACACATATACACATATATACACACATACACACATGCACACACAAGGATATATATATATATAGTGTGTTTACTTGTACTGGAAGTTTAAATTTTCTTTGAAACATTTTCCACTCTGATTCTACTTGAGGAATATTTAAGTAATGAGAATCTGGAGATTGGCATTGTGGATCCTGTGATTTCAATAAAATAACAACAGGCAGGGTTGGAGGTGAGCACTGGAGTGTGAGTTCCAGGGAAGTACTTGCCTCTGACCATGACTTTGACCTTTTAAGTCATTACTCAGGAAGAGCCAGAATCCATAACTCTTTGAGGGCTCTACGGATCCCTAACAAAGAATCTCTGTTTTAGTTTGATTACATCCAGAAGTTTCAGATTGTAACAGGTTTTCTTGGTTGGCCTAAAAAAAATCAGCTTGTGTTCATGTTCTCACTGCGGTTTTTGAGCATATGCAAGTTTGGTATCATCTCACTTTAAATTCAACATCATTTCACTTTTCTTAAGACATCCCTTCCCTTCCCTTTTCTGATTTTTTTCAGAATTCCCTGTCTCGCGTTCATTCAGTAGCCTGTTTTCTTTTGAGTGAAAAATGTTTGACAACTTACTCTTTGGCTGCAAAAATGCTGAACAGGTTTTAAACACTTGGATTTCCTGGCTGGCACGAATACATTGCCTTGTTATATAAAGGGACCCCTTACACCCTTGAAATTCCAGGGGAACATTTGTGTTAAAGCTTCACTGTTCTAGGATTATTGGGTATCACATATAATTGCTATGCACATTTAGCAATGACACGAACAGCGGAGTTATTTACCGTGAGTACAAATGTGGCTGCACAGAGGAGAGGGTGCTGGGCAGGCCTGCTGTCCTCATTGTGGGGCCAGTCTGTCCTCTGCTTCCTGCCAGGGCTGTGAGGGCTGGCACGGAGCCTTGGCACCGAGATCAGCAGCCCCTTCTCCTTAAATTCAGGCACAGCACTTCAGATTCCTGGCACATGTTTGTGACATCTCTTCTCGCCTATATCTTTCAGTGCTTACGTTCCCCTCTAAAGCCTGCTACTGAAAATAGAGGCTTGACTCTGACCCAAGTGTAAATTTCAATATTCAACCTAAATCAAAATGAAATATTGTATAAGTGGTATTATTAATGCTGTTAATAATTTATACAATAATTGTTTAATTATGCAATTCATTGTCAATAACACTTCTTGAGTGTCGCTCTGTTTTTGAGTGCTTACTCTGTGTTGTGCCCTATTGCTTTACATTGACTCATGTAATACTCCCCAGCACCCTATGAAGGAGGCACCATTATCATCCCCATTTATCAGATGAAGAAACTGCAGCAAGGGGAGATGGACAAACTCATCTGAAACCCACAGCTGGACAGCAGTGGCCCTGGGGTTGAACCCTGGTAACCTGCCCTGGAGTGTGCGTCCCAGCGTATGCTCCACACGGCACAGTGCCGACAATACGTCAGAAAATCAGGGGTGGGGGGGTGTCTGCCCAACATTCTTATGTTGAAGCCTTAACCCCCAACATGATGGTATTTGGAGATAGGGCCTCTGGGAGGTTTAGATGAGGCCTGCTTCCTCTCTTACCACCATCTGAGGTGACAGTGAGGACTGGGAACTTCCCCAGGAAACTGGAACTGCTGGCACCTTCATTTGGAACTCTCCAGCCTCCAGAATTGTGGGATATAAATGCCTGCTGTTTAAGCCACCCAGTCTATGATATTTTGTTACGGCAGCCTGAGCCAATACAGGGGATGGTGCAGTTTAATCAAATCAATTTGGAAAATGCCCTATACTCACTCCCTGTCTTAAAGGATCACAGTGCCTGTTAGGGAATCAAAGGCACTGAAACATCCTGCAGTAAAGAAAGCTATTTAAATTTGCTTAACCGATTGCTTCTCAAACCTTTTGGACTTTGGAACACCCCCTATTGATGAATACTTCACAGAACACACTTGGAAGGTGCCACTGGGGTGAAGCCTCCTGTAGGACTGGGTGTTTGCTTCCAGGTGGAAGGTAATTGCGTGGTGAAGTCAGAGCTTGTGTTGGGGAAGGTAGGTGAGATCAACAGCACAGAAATAAGGCAGGCAGAGCCTGCGGAACACAGAGCAGAGCAGACGGCCACAGCCCAAGGACGGTGGGTGGTGCCACAGTGAAGAGAATGCAAGCCTGGATAGTCCAGAACATCTGGGGAAGAGAAGGGGGGAGAACTGGAAGAACTTGTGCTTGGGGTAAATCTGGTGAGAATTCACGTTCCAGAGCAAAGTTTAGGGCCCGCCCTGGAGAGAGGATTTTAAGAACAGAAAGGACAGAAATTTAATACAGGCTGATTTCCTAAAGTTGTCTTAGTTTCTTTCCAGGAAATTATAGGATATGAGCTCAGATAAAAAGCCCAGTTTAGCAAGTGAACAAGATCTTGTTTAGCCAAGACACTTCCTAATAAATGTTTGCTGAATATCCTGAAAAGACAGAAAAGGGGAGGATTAATTACTCAATTTGGATTTTGTGCTCTTAAAATGAAATGTTAATTATTGGTTAGTTTGATATTGTTAATTTTTTATGCCTCTTGCAGGGTAGAAAGGAAGAAGGGGATCTCTCAGGCAGAAGATGGCAAATACATACAGAAAAGCATACATTTCTATGTGATTGTATAATGAGATTTCACGTCCGCTATCACCTGAGAGGAGGGATCGACAAGATGGCCTCAAAGACTCCATGGAAATCTCACATCCTGATTCCTTGTTTTTCAGAACATGCTAGAGGAAGTTTAGAAAAGAACTGCTTTTTATTCAGAGGTAGGCACACAATACAATTCAGACAGAACATTTGTAATGGGTATTTACACATAGGTCAATTGTGCAAATAGATTCAGTGGACTTTTTCCTAATCAGAGCAATATAAAAACATAAGCTTCAATTATTTAACACTGAAACTGTTGACATTGTTAAGGGAAACCTCAATATAGAGCAACCGGCCTCCTATACTCCTAATTTAAAACAAATTGAAAATTTGTTTGACATCGATAATTCTTCCTTTTAATTGGAATGTACTGAGGTTCTATGCATGTTACACAGAGCAAACGGGCTCTGCGTTAAATTTTCAGTTTTTTCTGATCTATTCACCTGTAATTGCCAGTTGCATACAAATCATGTTCTCTGTTGCCTGCCAAGCCGAGTTAGGAAATGTCCCGGCTACTAGTGCCATCTATTGGTGAAGTGTAGTATAACAGCACACTCACGGGAGCTAAGCTCTGAGCTATGATGGGACAGGGGAGCAAGAAAAAGGACAGATGAGACAGGATTCTGTATTTTGAAATGGTGGTGAATCTATCTTTAATGAGATAGAAATTCAAACGCTGAAAGGGCATTTGATGATAGTAAAGAATTACTGCTAGTCATTTTTTAGGTGCGATGTTGACGTTGTGGTTATGTTCAAACATCCTTATCTTTCAGAAATTTAGGGCCAAGTCGGCCTGTGAGGTAAGAATCGTTTTTACATTTTAAATCAAAATAAGTATATTTTGTGTCATAGGAAAATTGTATGAACTGCAAATTTGAGTGTCCGTTACTAAGGTCTTCCTGGAACACCCCCATGCTCATCCATTAACATTTTGTTTACGGCTGCTTCTGTGCTAGAGCAGCAGAGTTGAGTTACACAGAGACCACATGAGCCACACAGCCTGAGAGTTTACTCCCTAGCCCCTTATGGAAAACCCTTGCCAGCCCTGAGCTTTGCCATTCTAAGTGAGGCCCCTGGAGCCGCATCATCAGAAATGCCTACGAGGCTGTTAGGAATACTTGGTCTCTACTCCAGACCTACTGATTCACAATCTTCAGATCCCAGGTGATTCTTTCTCAAATTAAAGTTTGAAAGCACTGGTTTAGAAGCCCTGCTCATGTCATCCTCTGGCTGTGCCCTCCTCATGGTGCAGGCAGCCAGCAAGGACAAGGGGATGACGTGTCTCCCTGGAGCCCTTCTCCTGCCTCCAGGCCACACTCTGGGCACCTAGAATGCAGGAGTTCTCCCTGGGGTCCATCTCCTAGCTCAACAGGCAGTCAAGATACAGCTGTTCATGGGGTGGGAGGAGGATGGCCTGAGCTCGGACTTGAAGGCTGGGTGTCCTCTTGAGCAGCCAAGTCCTTATAGCACAAAGAAGGTCAGAGCCAGAGGTGGAGGAGAAGGGGCGAGGGCTTGGGGCTGGGGATCAGCTCTCCCTGTTCTTTTACCTTCTGCCATGGAACCCCAGGGTCCAGAAATCCTACCCTGCCACGTAGTTATGAAGGTATTATTTGTCAGCTTGATTTATGTTTCAAATATTTAAACATATAATATATACTCATTTATATGAGTACCTTCGTTTATACTCCTGACCTGGGACCCACAAATATTAGTGGAAGTTCTGCTGAATGCTCTTCAAAGTGTGTTCTGAGGACCACCTGCATCAGAATTTGCAGGATTGTTTATTAAAAATTCAAATTTCCAGGCCTCCCCAGGATCACTCTTTGGGGCTGGAGCTACAAATCTGCATTCCAACCAGCTCTCTGGAGATCCTGACCCACACCAGGATTATAGGAGCACTTGTAAGGGGGGCAGAGGGGAGAGGAGCTGGCCCTGAGTGGACAGGAGGCACTGGGGAGAAGATGGGGAGGTAGGCAGGTCAGAGGAAGATGCTGACAAGGGGTTCACAGTGCTTCCTGCTTCCCTCGGTAGCTCTATTCAGAATCTGGCCTGAATCCACTCCTGCGAGATGGCTGCAGGGAGAAGTTTTCTGCTAGAACAGGGCAAGGATGTCCTCCTGCCAATGTGGGGCTCTCTGGGGCTGCTCTGCAGAAGGAAGTAGCTGAGTCAACATGCAACAGCAGCAAAGGAGCTGTGGGCACCTGGAGGGACCCCCTGGACTCCCGGCGGCTCAGGCTGAAGCCATTGTGTAAGTCTTTGGGCAGGCAAGACCTCCTGGGTCCTGCAGAGGACATGGGAGCAGCTGGGACAGACTGTGTGGTCCCACCAGCCTGGGTTCATATCCTGCACCTGTCACCTATGACTTGTGTGACCTTGAGTGCGTTACTTAAACTGTGTAGGTTCGTTTGCTTGCCTGTAAGATGGGAATCATAACACCTTCTAGGCTTGTGTTAGAATTAAATGTGATACTTAAGGAAAACCATGTCCTTGCCACACAGAGCTGAATAAGGGGTGGCTGCTGTTTAATAGCAAGCTTGTTACCTTATGTCTTCACTTCCTGACACTTGATGTCGTAAACACTTGCCACAGGCTGCTGAGACAAATTGCCCCAAAGCCCAAGCACAGGAAGCTGCTGGGGCTCCAGTCACAGCCCTGTGCCAGACCAGTGCTTGACCAGTGTCCTAGGACTCCCTGAGTTTCCCTGTGAAGGAGCAGCTCCTGAAGTCGCTGTGTTCGATTCCTAGGATGGCCCACCCATCAAGACCACACCTGGGACTCATCTTTGCAGACTTGTGATGAACACTGGACTTCTATGAAAGTTGTGCCATACTGAAAACCACCAGCAGGGGGAAGCAGAATCCAGGCATCCGTGTAAGAAGTGTGGAAAGGACACAAAACCTGCCAGGATGGCCACACGGGACAGGAGCAGCTGCAGGCCTAGCCTGCCCCTCTGTCCACTCCACCCTCGACACACATAAATGTACACACCTGGTCCTGCATTTGAATCACCTGACTGCTGTTTACTCTGTTTTCTCATCCAGGTACAGTCCATTGTATCTTAAATATGGCAAAGGCCAGAGGTTGGCAAGCTCAGTTGCAAATTCAAATCACCTGGCGGGAGGATCTGATGGAGGCCACCCCAACCTTTGTAACTCAACAGAGGGCAGACCAGCAGATTTCATGTTCCTGTTATGGGCTGAATTGTGCCTCCCCCACCCCCAAATTCATACCTTGAATTCCTCATCCTTAGTATTTCAGAATTCATTACAGATGTAATTAGTTAAGATGAGGTCATTAGGGGGGACCCTAATCCAATATGACTGGTATCCTTATAAAAAAGGAAACTTTGGACACAGGGAGAAGATGCAGGCAGGCTCCTGGTGCTGTGCCTCCAAGCCAAGGAGCACCGCCGACTGTCAACGAACCTCCAGAAGACGCACAGGCCGGGTTGTCCTCCCAGCCCTCAGGAGGAACCAGCAGACCCCACCCTGCCTGTGGGCTTCTGGGCTCCAGAAATGTGAAAACAGATGTCTATTGTTTAAGCCCCCATCTGTGGTCCTTGTTATGGCAGCTGTAGGACACTGAATATGTGGTTCCCCACAACAGACTTGTACCACACTGAGCTCCAGATGGACCCCTTTCTACCCAGATCACTTCTCCCATCAGGTGGCTTCTGCTACCACGTGGATGTTCCCTGATCCCTGTCCCTGCAGTATGGGGTGCCTGTGGGAGCAGGGGTAGGGGATGGGCTCCTCAACAGTGGCCAGGAGCAGGTGCTGTCTGCTCTCAGCTAGGGGGCGACACTGAGTATGCTCTCATACTTCTTCCCTCACCACGAGGCACTAGTGGTGCGGGTCCTTGAATGCACAGCAGAAAGGATCCAATTCACCCTGTCTAAGCTGGAACCCTAGGAGGCCTATATGATCCTAACACACTTCTCTACCAGGCCTGTGATTTTTACTAAGTATCACCGGGATACTATCAGCCTTATCCCCTCTGTACCTGCCTGCTCCCGCCCGAGCTCAGAACATATCTCTCATCTGCACCTCGGAACAGCCTCGAGACCAGTCTGTCCCGGCCCTATGCCAAACCGCCTCTCTCCTGCCTACCACCAGAATGATCTTCCCAAAGGCCAAATCTGATTAGGTCTCCCCACTGCTCAGAACCCTTTATC